GCCGGTTTGGCCTACCTCGAAGTCTTGTCTCGGATAATGGCACTCAATTCAATGGCAAAAAGATTCGCGCATGGTGTGAAGAGATGAAAATCACACAGAAGTTCGTAGCAGTGGCACACCCTCAAGCCAATGGCCAGGTCGAATCTACAAATCGAACCATTGTTAACGGCTTAAAAAAGAGGATAGACGAACTAGGAGGCAGCTGGGTAGATGAGTTACCTTCGGTCCTTTGGTCGTACCGAACCTCGGCCAAAGCAGCTACCGGTGAAACACCATTTCGGTTAACCTACGGAACCGAAGCAGTTATTCCAGTAGAAGTGGCAATGGATACACTCCGCATAGCCACGTTCGATGAAGGGGCAAATGACGGTGCATTGAGAACCCAGCTGAACGAGATTTTTGACTTGCGGGAAGCAGCTTATTTACACATGGAACGAAGCAAGAATTTGATCAAGGCCCGATATGACCAAGGGGTCCGATCTCGCTCATTTCAGATTGGTGATCTCGTTCTACGGCGAGCTGATGCCCTAAAGCACACGGAAAAATTGGAAGCTAATTGGGAAGGACCATACGTGGTCACAAAGTGCTTGGCTGGTGGAGGATACGAGTTGGCAGATGTAGAAGGAAAACCATTGCCGCGGGCATGGAATGCCATTCATTTGAAACGCTTCCTCGCGTAAAAAAAAAAAAAAAAAAAAAAGTGAGAAAGAAGCAGAGAAGCAACACCTCTTGTAAAAGGAAAACATCAATAAACGTCCATTTTGCGAGCTGGGCTAGGCCCCGTGGTTTTTTCTCTCCTTATTTGGAGGGTTTCCACGTTAAAAATATCCTTGTGTTATCTATTTAAATTACAAACTGAGGCGTTAAATCGCGTGTTTTACCGAGGCGCTAAATCGCGTGTTTTACCGAGGTGCTAAATCGCGTGTTTTACCGAGGTGTTAAATCGCGTGTTTTACCGAGGCGCTAAATCGCGTGTTTTACCGAGGCGTTAAATCGCGTGTTTTACCGAGGCGCTAAATCGCGTACCGAGGCGTTAAATCGCGTGTTTTACCGAGGCGTTAAATCGCGAGTTTTACCGAGACGTTAAATCGCGTGTTTTATCGAGGCGTTAAATCGTGTGTTTTACCGAGGCGTTAAATCGCGTGTTCCATTGAGGCGTTAAATCGCGTGTTTTACCGAAGAATTAAACCGTGCGTTTCATCAAGGCGTTACATCGTGTATTTCATTAAGGCGTTACACCGCATATTTTATCAAAGGTCTCAAATCACATGTCTTGCTGAAACATTAAGTCGCATGTTTTGCCAAAGGAAACAATCACCAAAGGCTAAGTTCAAATACAAGTAAAATATGAAAAAAGCTTGCCGAGATCAGGTTAAGTCCTAAAAGAGATAAGATCAAAGGGCAGTCACCCACATGGGTCCTAAAAAGATTCAACCCAAGTTCGGAAAGTACTTTGCTAAAATTCACTAACCATTCCTGAATATACTGCACTAAAGTAAAAGCAGCCCCGACACATATGAAAAACGAGATGGAAACAAATAAACTCTTTGATACATTGAAAACACAAAGAAAACGAAACAAGTTGTTCAGAGTATATAAAGGAAAAATACAAGTACATGGTACAAGGAGTAAAATACAAAAACATAGTCCATGGTCGGGGACAAATAAAAAACGGCTAAGTATTTTTGGGAGATCCCACCCCGGCTTCGCCTTGATCCCCGGCAGACGGAAGAGGAGACGAGGTGAAGCCTGACGGCGCTTTGTTGAGACTCGCCATTGCGTCAATAGTTTCAACATCCCCAACTAAATCAGTGATGATCACCGAAGAGCTCCCTTGACGAGAGAAGTCTTCAACAAGCTCCCGGTGTACCTGCCTCCACCACTCTAAGTCAGGGTCCTCGTTCACGTCCCCTTCGAAACCCGGAATCACGTCATCCGGTAAGTCTTCGGCAAGCTCATTTTCGACCAGCAGGAACTCGACGCCAGCACCGCTCAGTCGCTTTCGTACGGCCTTCACCGCTTCCGAGAAGAAGAAACGGGCTAAGCCGGATGCTTGTCGGGTGAACGTCGTCGAGCGCCACAGCCGATCGAAAAAGCGACTGACGAACGCCTCCATAAAACGGAGACCCTCAGACGACCCTGGGAACAGTCTGTGCCCTTCTTTCACTCATTCGGTGAAGTTGGCGGACGCCTGCACCCCAGCGGCAAAGAGCTCGTTCGAAAGCTGTTTCGCTTTTTCCTCCAAACTAGCATTGTGAGATGCTAGGAAGCTCTTCTCCGCCTGCGAAGTCTCCTCCTTCTCTTTCAGTTTTTTCACCTCGGCGAATAACCCCTCCTTCGCCGACTCAGCCACTGCCAGACTCTCTTTTAAAGCGCGGACCTCTTTTCGGAGCTGGGTAACCTCCTTCCTCTGATTATCATATGCCTCGCGAGAAACATCGTCCCATCCCAGGGGGCCCGAAAAGGCGATGGCGAATTGCTGCACGTACAAAAGACTCGAGTAAAATAGACTGCGATTAAGAAACATAAAAGCTAACTCATGTGTGCGAGATGAAACCAACCTGCGTTATGTCATGTAGGAGCAACTCAAGCCGATCACCTTTGCTCATTTGCCCGAAGTGGGCAACGTCTCGAGGAAGTGCCATAGCCCGGCAAGCGGCAATGGCGTTCTCTGCGTTCTGGCAGAGGTGAAGTGCGAAATTAGGGGGCAGAGACGACCCAACTTGCCCCGGAGCTGATCCAGTCTGCCCGGCAGTTGACCCGACCAGCCCAAGGGCCAGGTCCGCCCTTCTCTTTTTCGTGGTGGGCTCTTTTTCTGCCATTTCTTCGGTTGAGGAAGGTGGCGGAGAGGAAACTGTTACTATAGCTGAGGATTGGCGAGGAAGCTCGGGATCCTCAGTGCGTGAACCACCTCGGGGACGCGGAACCCCAACACTCTTCTTGGAAGGCCTCGGCCTTAGAGCCCCCTCCTCTGAGGGTCGTTTCTCGGATTCAGCGGCTAGAGGGCGCTGAAGCTCGGATGCCTGAAATCCAGGCTCCGGCTCGGATGGGCGAGTGGCCGGCTTATCACCTCTGAACATCCTCTTCATCCTTAAGTCTGTTCGTGGGATTAAGGAAAAGGTGGTGAGCAAATAGGCAATACCTCGACAAACGTACAAAAACAATTAAACAAGGAGCAACAGCCCGAAATAAATGCCGAACTAATACAGAAAATTGATATCGTATTTAAACCCACCTAAATCCTCTTGAGTTAGGGGATGAGTGCCGTTGTCATGGAAGTAAAAATGACGAAGTATCGGCGGAAAACTTGTAAGATTCTCGGGCATACCGTAACTCGGTTGAAAGTGGACAATCATTTTCAAAAGCCACTCATCGATTGCTAAAGGTTTCCCCCTTTTTTTCTCGGGCAAGGTGGCGAACCAAGGACACAAATAAGGAGTGTCAGTGGGGTCCCTCGCGAAAAAATAGTGGCCTTGCCACCCGTCGGTTTTATTGGGTGGCATTAGTATCTTGAAGCCTGGACGAGCCGAGATGGAAACATGGTAAGGGCTGGAATTTTTTAATACCATAATACTTCGGAACCGGGCCGGGGTAGGGATTACCCCCGACCAAGCACAGAGCATGCGAAACCCGGTCATAATGACTATGGCATGTGGGTGGAACTGGTTAAGGGATATGTTGCATATTTGAGCAATCTCGGAGAACCATGGCGAGATGGGGAAAGAAAGGCCGAAATAGAACTGCTCAGAAAACCAAGTGCTAAAGCCTGGAGGGGGGTTTAGGGGACGCTGATCTCGAGAAGGTAGGATCAGTTCGATGTCGGTAGGGAGACCTATATCGCGAACTAAGTTAGCTAGGTCTACCTCACTTAAAGTACTGGGCCCCCATTGATCGTCCTGATCCCGCCCCCCAGACAACGAAGGAGATCCACTCCTCGCGGAAGACACAACGTCGTCTCTCCCCCTTTTCTTAGATTTTTTCAGTAATTTACCCGAAGGAGAAAAGAAGGGCCCCTCCTCCGAAGAAGAAGAAAGGGTGAGGGTAGGGTATTCATCTCCCTCCCGGGAAGGCATTTTCTGACCAAAAGGATCGGGGGAATTGGAAGACATAGGTTAAGGACAATAAAAAGCAGGGGAGAAATGGAGTACCTTTGTCGAAGAAGAAAACAAGCACAGGGTGGAAAGAACTCGATTCTCGGAAAAGCAAAATCGCCGGAGGTAAGCAGAGACAAGGAGAGCACAGAGGTGAAGAAGAGGAAAATTTTTTGAAAATTCATAGAAGTCAGATACTTATAGGAGGGGGAAATGAAGAAAAATTGATCACAGCCATTGATTCGGACGGATAAGATTCAAAGTAGATTATTTCGATTCCGGTGCAAGAGGCACCGTTTGGGATTCCTCAGTAATTGCCTCGGAAAGAGGGAAAACCAATCATAACCGTTTATCCGGACGGACGAGATTTAATGCAGATCGCCTCGAACCTAGCGCGAAAAGCGTTGATTGAAATCTCCTCATGATGACCTAGGGAACCCGAATCGACCACACGGGATGTCAGAGCAATTAATGAAAGAAAGAGGGAAGGGAGTTGCGTACGCCGACGTGAACTTAAATCGAAGTACGAACTAACACCTCGTACTCCATACTTATAAAACGAAGTAAGGGAAAGACAACCCGTTTTATAAATAAGGAGTAGGGGGGAGTAGTTGATACGGGCCAGTTTGACGAATAACAAATAAGCGTAAGCCCATTAGGATAAGCCCAGTATGATAGGCCCACGACGAAGAGCCCACGATGAATTAGCTCGAAGTTATGGGCGAAGTCGCTGTATGGTGCAAACCTCGGAAACCATATGGGCGACGTGAACTTTGGTCTCATTTCTTTTTCTATTTTTCTATTTTTCTATTTTTTATTTATTAAGTAATATTATAATTTGTGTGGCAACTGGCAAAGATTGTGAAAATACAAATAAAAGAATGCCTGAAAAAATGACACAACAACTGCCTCACAAAGATAACTTAAGAGCACATGAAATGTCTACACAAACAGACTTCTTCTTACAACTAATATTTTCCCCTGTTTGTTTATTTATGAATTATGAGAAGTAGGGCCCACACATTCACAACTAGCTCAATTATTAGTCACCACATGCAATTAGAACATTCTTGTTCCAAATGCTGGTTTTACATATTCCAAGAAAGATCCTTTTACAAAATATTAAGAAAAAAAAAAAGAGTACAGCAGAATTTGCTTGTTTTCTCCACAAATTTGTATGTACCTGAATAATGGACTTGTATGGTTGATATAGTGTGTGTGTGTGTGTGTGTGTGTGTGTGTGTGTGTGTGTTGGGAGTCGCTTCTTGAGCATATTTGAGACCTTTATCGACTCTTTTATTCTCGAAGAGGGATAAAACGGTAATTTTAAATAGCTGGTCTGGTGCCGGGCCATGATTGGGGATCTTCGTCGTTTGGCCTGTAACTACGGCTATCCTGGAAATAGGAAATCCCGGTCCATACACCACGGATAAGCAATATACTTGCAAACACCACACTCCCGAGGGTGCAAATTACCTGAAAATGACACCGTGCAGGAGAATCAAGAATCGTGGAATTGGAACAATTCAGACTCGAAATCAAAAACTTTTCTAATCCGATTAAGAAAAATTAAACCAAGAAATATGACTATAAACTCGAGGCAAAAGAGAGTATATATACATCAAGGTGCTTCTTACTTATATATGTAACTAGAGAAAGGCAGTCGGAAAGCCTGCGTAGAGAGAGAGAGAGCACAAGGCCACAAACCAGTCTTATTTCACTATTACCCTTCATTGTAATTTGAGCTACAGACTAGTGGCATTTGAATAAAACCACGACGTATTTTAACCACTCGTTAATAATTGAAGCTCCAGCAGGTCAAAATAATTGGTTCAGAACAATATGGTATATTAAATATTAAAAGGTTCAAGTTGTAAATAGGGTAAATATATGCCGAGCAACCATTTATAAACACGCTGATAGTTGTAAAAATTCTACCAGTTTATGGATAACAAGGTTCTACGAAACTGTGAAATGACTTCTCACAGACACATAATCAAACCTAGAATAAGCCAATGATCAACGTAAAAGATGTAAGAAAAAGGGACTTAAAGTTTACCAATGATCAACGTAAAAGATGATTAACAATTTATCTTGTTTCCGACTTAAGGTTAACTGACAACAGTTCAATGAACTAATATACAAACAAGATTAACATTCGTTCATGAGATCCGAGAAGAAAAGGCATTACCTCGAGAAAAGCTCTCAGAACCCACAAAAATGTCAAAATTATGGTCCCGTTCACTGCAAACCCCACCTACATGTAAGAGGAAAGAACACTTAATCCAAAAATACAATAAATTATCCAAAGTGCCACGACACAAGAAAATTTCAAATAAAGGAGAATCTTATTTCATTTAGAGGCTCGTGAACATAACAAGGCAAGGGTACACTTAACCTTGCCTTGCAGCTACACGGCAGACAACTAAAGAATAAATACTAGAATGAGTGACCATCAAATTCCTCATTGTTAAAAATATCATCACCAGCAGAAAAAGTTGTACCAATGGTAAACACCCATGATAAGCTATGCAAATGAACTTTCTGGAGGAAAAAAATAAATGAATACAATAATATAATGCTCTATCAAATAGGGTTGAAATGTAATTTTCGAAATCCGTGTGCACAGTCAATAAAACCAAAATGCAACCAGCCGTAGATGTAGAAATGGTGGTCTTTCGTCTTTGCAAACGATGAAGTTACTTTTTGGGATAATTACATAAAACGCCTTTGTACAAGATGCACACAATTCCGATCGAAAAGCAAACGACTGTGATGGCATTTACACCAGTAGCTGCAAACTCGGTTTAGTTACAAACCAGTTACCAAGTTGCAATATCTACCGAATGTATGGAAAACAAATAATAAAAGCAGTTAACATTCAATTTCTGATGCAGGACCATGGAAATTCATTTAAAAAAAACTTTCAGCTATTAAAATTCCATCAATGGAGATTCATTCAATCACAGCAATCACTTATCCAAATTGAAGTGAAAAATCAGAAATCAAAACTCACACACAGTAAGTAAGAACAATCATCACTACCAATTTAGTGGAGATAGGCACTGGCAAAACGGATTTAACAGCCTTGCGTGCTTTTCTGGACACTTTTCTGAACACATTCTCCACAAACCTAATCAGCAGGTCCAAGCTTCGATCTTCCTCTTCTTCCTCTTCATCTTCATCATCGTCTTCATCAATATCATCGCCGTAATCGCCCATTACCACACCACTTCGAGAATTCGCGCCCCAAGCGCGAGCTTCATGAATCGAATTACGGTCTCTCTGCACAAATCGCAGATCAATTAGAAATCAAAATTGACCTAAAAGAGGAACCTTAAAATTGATACTGTTTTTTTTTTCTGCGGAACAGAGTTCAACCTCGAGATGCAGAAGAGGGGTGGTTGTGCGGAGGCGCCGCCGTAGGATGCCGACGTGGGAATTGATGAACGAGGAACGAGATAGTGGTCGAGGATGATTGGGGAGAGGATGAAGGCGGAGAGTAACGGTGGTCGCCGCCATGACAGTGGCGGCAAGAGGTTTTGCTTCTCCGTGGTTGCTGTTGCTTCAGTGCATTGACACGGCGGAGGGTGATTTTGCAACTTCTGTGGGGGGCTTATGAGATTTGAGAAAATTTTGAGGACTGGGATGTAAGTAGAGGTACCTAAATTTTTTATTTTTTATTTCTAATATTTTACTTAACATAAATAATTAGGGTAATTAGCACTTTGCATCCTTGAACTACATGCTATTTCCATTTTGCACCCTTAAATTGAAAAAAATGGCATATTGCACCCTCCAATTATTTGGCACTTTGCACCATCGTTGGAATGAGAGGTTTCATTAATAAAGGAAAATAACCCTAATCTTTATTGCAAAGTATGACCAAATTTTACAATAGAAAAGCCAAGAAAATCATAGAATGAAAGAAAAAACTAAAAGGAATTAACTAAAACAGTGAAACCATGCCTACATAAACCTATCACGAAGATAAAACCGATAGTTAGGTGGTCGAATCAGCCGATCCCGACCCCTAGCGCGTTTCCTATATTGTAAAAGATCTTCATCAATCATTGGTGGCCCCCGTCGGAAGCGGTCCCTATTCCGTAGATGATCTTCCCCGATAACTTGCCGTGGTGGGCCCCCTAGATATCGATGCACCAGCTCAGCGTCCTTCGACCTCTCTCGGGCGGCAGCAAACGCCTCTTTCCAACTCCCTCGAGTACTCTCTTTCTTGCAATCATTGCCAAACTCATCGACAAACTTCACCATAGCTCGTCACGCGAGGCTGAACCCCTCATTTCGGAGTTCACACGGCTCACATTAGCCAACTCGGTGATCGAAAACGACTCCAGAATCTTCAACTTGAGATCCTTTGGTAGTATCGTAAAGCAAGTAGGCGGCTCCAAACCCGACTCTTCGCGTATATCCGTCAACAAACGCATTGCAAGATTATCCTTCACGTCAATCGAAAATTCAATTACGTCTCTTCCCACGACTCCGCCATCGCAATCGAACGTACAATACAGATTTCAGAGACGAAGACAATTTACACTCGTTCAGCTGCACCAAATGGGTGCGTGTGCTGCGTCGTCGGTTATTCGCCAATCTCCCGTACACACTCATCGTTAACTTCCATAAACTCTGGAATTTCAAAACGACGACGTTGTCGATAGATTCTCCACTAGTTTGTGGCAGAGTGTAGAACAGGGACATAGTGAAGAGTCCCCAATGCCAATTGCCGGACAGCGGCAAACCGGAACCGGAACCGGAACCGAAACCGAATCCGGTAACCGCGGCGTTCGATATTAAGAATAACATCAAAATCATCACCATCATCAAGATAAAAATCATCCTTTTAAATATTTTTACATGAAATTTATGTAATTCGGTTATTTACCGAACACAAATGTATATTCAGTTCGGTAAACAGTATGAAATGTTGGCGTACCGAAAGTTCGGTTCGGTTTTACCGATTTAACATCCCTAAATTTACGTCTGGAGAGGTCTTTTCGTTGGATAATACATAGTTGAGGGAGGTAACTGTAATTACCCAACCAGAATGGGGGTTTTCGTAATTTGACTATAATTCAGGGGTCTTCGTAATTTGACCATAACTCAGGGGTGGCCGTAATGAGCCCAAATAATAATAACAAATAAAAAAATAAACTTTTATAAAACATGAACAACCTAATAATAACTCAAGGCTTTATTGGAAGCAAATACACAGTTCAAGAACATTGAACTACAACACTGAAAACATGCATTACGGGATTCATTTGACAAGGAACTCCAAATCCATTGGTATCATTTTCAGTTGTTTCAAATCCATTCATTTCAAATTCCTCGATACAAACGACGCCTTAAACAAATTTACCGCAATCATTCGCGGCACCCGTCGATGCCTTACTTTATCATCACGCATTTTCGGTTTGGTGATAGAAACTCCTGACGGAGGCTTACTTTTCCACCTTTCCAAAAACGCCCTTCTCCAACAACTCTTTTGCCCGTCTTCGTTCTCCTCGTCGCCAAACTCCTCGAAAAACTTCAATTTCCACAAGTAATCCATCAACCCTAAATCCCGCAATTCCGAGCTCGCGCAGCTCACTTTAGCCAAATCAACACTAGGCAACAACTCCAAGATTTTCAACTTAATATCGTTCGGTAATTTCATAAAGCAAGGCGGGGGTATTAAAGAACTCGCTTCGCGTAAATCGATCAACAACGGCAACGCAAGATTATCCCTCACATTCCTCATAAATTCAAGCATCGCTCGTCTCGATGGTGTTTCGATAAGAAGCCCTCCATTGTTTACCCAACAATTCGACCATATCACATTAAGAAAAGGAATCAATTCGTACTCGTCCGCTTGCACCGAATGAGTGATAATCCTTCGTCTCTCACCCGATACATTCTCCGATAGCGTCCCGTAAATATTCATGAGATCGCCTAAAATTTGAAATTTCAACACAATATACCTAATGCATTTGCCGCAATCATTTTGCGGCAGAGTGTAGAAAAGAGAGATCTTGAACAGATCGGAATTCAACTCGCGGCGCAGATGAAATGCTCCGACTATCGAATTTGATCTCGTGTCGAAAGACGCGAAACCGAAGTCCAGCATGATCGCGTGGACTACAATCACGATCAGCTTGTGATAGTATGCGGCGTCGTTTCCCCACTGCTCGACGAACAACTGCTTCACGAATTCGGGTAGCGAAAACGATGCCGTTTCGACGGCGGCCTTCTTCGCGGATTCATGATAACTTCCGTCGGTATCGCCGTCGACTTCCATTTCATGTCCGGAATCCGAATTCATATTGGTTTATGATTTGTAGAATGGAGAAATGAATAAGATCAGAGTGGAAGTAGTGAGAGGAAACAATCTGCTTAAATTGGGGGAGAATCCGCATTTTTAGGGTTTGTTTTGATCTTAGGAATCTAGGGTTTGTTTTGGTCTCAAGAATTTGTATAGGATGAAAAATATGTAAATTACTCTTTTGCCCCAGAATAACATGTAACCAACTATTTGGCCCCACCTCTTTGGAAAAACGTTTTTTTTTTATTTCTACTTATCTCTTGATCACCAAAGATATTTAACATATAAATTATCAAAATAAAAATAAAAATATATAGAGTCAAGATATGTTTGCATTAAATTTATTTTCTATTATCGTTTATTCAAATAGCTAGCTTTAGAAAGATAATTTACCATCTAAAAGTTTACACCTCAAATAATCTTGATCAAATAATCAGTAATCAATAATCAAATAATCAACTATGTCACGGACACAGAAACGGCTGGGGAAAAAACAAAAATATTTGGAAATTCACTATTCAAATATGTTTCTAACTTTTCAAAAATTGCAAAATGGCCCATCAGGTGTCCGACAAATACAAATATCGGACGGGAAAAACAAAAATATTTGGAAATTCGCTATTTAAATATGTTTCTAACTTTTCAAAAATTGTAAAATGGCCAATGGTGTCCGACAAATACAAATATCGGACGTAGAAAGTTGAAGTTTCTGTGCTACATAGATAATTAATAATAAGTTTCATCATAATGCCAATTAACCTACAATAACAAAGTAGATAGTGAAATATGTTTATAGAGATATTACTAGCAAGATGCCTTCAAGATATGTGTTTAAGACAAGCTTTTCTTCTACCACAAAGGCACATCAAAAAAATAAAAAAAGCATTCTTCATCAAGAAACCTAATGCAAGTGAAGATATGAAAAACAAAATAAAAAGATAAAGAACCTATAATAATTGGAAGACATAAATCAAAAGAAAAAGAAAACTATATCCATGGACCATAATTGTGAAAATTCTGCATCCATAGAGGTAGTTGCACATTAAACAGTTGCGGCATCAGTGGCGGCGGTTGATGATTATAACAATATCCCCATTCGAAAGGAGGCTGCAGCAAACACGACTGTGTAATCGGCTTAAAACTAACAAAGTCCCGCATATGAACAAACGCGCTTTTCCAATTCTCAAACATCAAAACATCCAAATCGCCAAACGCCTCCACATACTTCGATTTCCACAGCTCGTCGGTCGAGGCTAAACTCCTCAATTCGGAGCTCACACAGCTCACTCGAGCTAAATCAACACCAGATAAACACTCCAATATATTCAACTTGAGATCCGCCGGTAGGCTCGTAAAGCAAGGTAGGTATTCCAAACCGGATTTTTTGTACGAATCAATCAACAAAGGCGATACGAGTTTATCCTTCACGTCAATCCAAAATTTCGACACCTCCTTTTCCGGAGATGTGTTTGAAAGCCCTCCGTCTAATTCGCAATCAGCCCATACGAATTTCAGAAACGGAACCAATCGATCCTCGTTTAGTTGCACCGAGTACGTGCTTCTTTTCGATGATCCGTTATCCAATGCTCCGTAAACGGTCATGAATTTCCCCAAGGGCTGGAATTTCAAAACGACGATGACGTTTTCGGCGAATGCGCCACGTGGCACCGGGGTGTAGAACAGAGACAGATCCGAAGGCAAATCGCCACGAGAGTGGAAGCCGAAACCACGAACTACTTTTTTCGATTTCTTATCGAACTCTAGAAAACCGGAATCCAGCATAACTGCGTGGACGGCGAGAACCAGCAGCCAGTGGCGGCGGCGGCCGCCACTGGCCTGACCTAACTCTTCCGTGAACACTTCCCTCAGGAATTTAGGTACGGAAAATGAGTTTCCGACGACCTTTTTCGCCGCCGACGACTCGGCGGCATAATCACCGTCTCGGATTTTCCTTTTCCGGGAAAGCTTATTCAGATGGTCGGAATTTTGGGCCACGGGAAGGGCGTTTACGGAATTTGAACTCATATCTGGCTCCGGTTGTTGTTCAACGGAGGAAAGTACGACACCACCGGCGGCGATTGGAGGCAGTCTTCGCCGTCGGATTGAAGCGCGAGACGGCGGGGGGGTTCGGGAGAAATTTTGAATTTGGATGTCTAGGGTTTAATTTATTCCGCGAGTTTCGTGGCTTTAAGTATGCAGATGATCTAGTTTGATTTATAGTTGCGATTAGCGGCCGTATCGAATGATGAACGTATTAAATTCCATTTTTGCCCCCAGCGTTTTGGAAGGGGAATTATTGATTAATGATTGATTGAATGATTGAAGTTAAAAAGGAAAAACAATTACTTCCGTACACGTGGCAATGGTAAATTGATTATATATGCATAGCAAAATAAATTTTGGTAATTTGCGATAAAAAAAAGAAGAAATTAATGCAACATTGAATTTATAAAGTGACAGATAATATTATGTAACCAGTAACAAGAAATGCACATTTTAGAAAAAAAAAAAAAAAAACTTCTTCATTATACCATCTCATTATTAGTTTTGTTTTATGTGCATTACACAATTTGTATTTAGAGACATCGTATAAGTATGTAATAATATTGATGTGCCTATTTAAACTTTAACTCAAGATGGCCATTAAAGAGAAAATCCAACACAAATATCCTTAATCAAAATCTTACTAAAAACTTATGGGAATAAACTAATTATTTCTTCCCATTCATCATTTAAATATAAAGGTACATTTTATTTTGCATTGCAAGTTAAATATTTTATTGCTTATACTCTACAATCGATTTCTGTCTTGAAAACAAAAACTCATTTAAATATATAGTAAGAGAAAAAAAAATAGGTTCACTCAAATAGTTCACGATAAAAGTGTGTCATAATTCATATGTGCATGCATGCGTGCACGTGCGTGTGTGATTGAAGATGTAGAGAACGATAATACATAGGTGTCAAAGAAAACACATTCAGTAATTAATAATAAATCAATTATTATCATTATTTTTTTTTAATTTTTTTTGATGAAACTTTTTTAATATTAATATTCTTCCGTCTAAACGCCGTTTTCCAACTCACCGACGTGTCTTTATCCACATCACCAAACTCCTGCACAAACTTTATCTTCCACAAGTAGTCATCCCTCGAAGCTATAGAACTCAGTTCGTAGCAGAAACACGTGGCCTTAGCTAAATCAACGGCTGACAGCCACTTTAGAATCTCCACCTTCAGATCTACTGGTAACTTCTGACAGTAACACGACACCTGGCGTAACTCCGTCAGCAGAGGCAGCACGAGGTTGTCCTTCACGCGCTTCCAAAATCTATACACAGCACCGCCGTTAACTTCTTCTCCGTTAGTGTTATTACTGTCCGTTACTAAAACGTTGTTCATAAACGTTGCCAATTGATCTTCTTTGAATTGTACGGAGTGATTGCCTACCTTCTCCGTTTCCATATCCAGTCTGCCGTTAACGGTGACGGAATATTCCCCGGATATCCGGAATTCGAGAACGGCGTTCTGAATCGATTTGCCGTGGGCGGTGTTTTTCTCCGGGAGAGTGTAGAACAGGCGGCGCGTGGGCCATACGAGAGGCGAGCGAAAACCGCTGACCACGGCGTTTGATTCCTTGTCGAACGGCACGAAGCCGCACTCGAGCATGACGGCGTGGGTCGCGATGACGGCCAGCTTGTGGTGGCGCTTGCTGACGTCATCATCGCGGGACTCCTGCATCAGCAAATTCCTCAGAAAATTAGGTGCGGAAAACGGATCGGCAGCAGATTCCGCCGCCGCTGCGGAATCGTCGTGACCGAATCTCACGCCTTCCAAAAATTTCCCGATCCGCGAATCGCAGCAATCTAGGGTTTTCCTTTTAAGGGGAACCAAATTCGAGCGGGCATCGGAAAGGATATCATCGTAATTCCGTGAGTCCGAAATCATATTAATTAGCCGCCGGTGGAGAAGAGAACAAGATCACTGGAGTGGAAGCGGCCCTTCGCCGTTGGATTAGAGAGAGAAATGAGAAATTCGATTTTTTAGGGTTTCGTTGAATCGAGTGATCTCTGATATGTAGAATACAGTTGGGATTGGCGGACGTATCGGAATTAGACTCTTATTATTTAATTTAAATAATAAATTAATTACTATTTTTCTCCAATTTTTGCCATTATTAATTCTACACAACAAAAGAAGTAGTAATTTAGTGAAAATAGTAATTTAGTAATTTTGTCATTACTAATTCTATATCTTGTACCAATGTTAACGGTAAATCTACACATAATCACAACTTTTAGGTTTGATAAAAGAAATGAAATATATTATCACATTTACATCACTAAAACAAAATTGAATTTTTTAGAGAGAACATTGTCTTGATTCTATTTATAAAATTGGATGATTTTTATAGCACAATATTTTATTTTATTTAAATTAATTGGAAATATTACAATATTTTCTCGAATTATCCAAACAACTTTCGTATATACGATCGGTTATCTACCTACGGTGTGTGCATGCGTACATAAATCCATAGAACTTTTAGTAACCATTAGGGCAAGCTCAATGGAGTAAGTAAAACGGGTCTCCAAATTTATTTTGGAGACCCATTTAAATTTAAAGATCGGTAGAATTTTACGGTTTCTATAAGAAAAACAGATTTTATATATAAAAACCAAAAACGAACAAATAAAATGAGAATGAAAAAACGAAAAACGAACAACCTATAACCGGACAAGTATCTAGAACAAATTCAAAGAATTGAAAACATTAAACGAAAACACCGAAAACCTGCCTAAAATGCATCAACCACCGCGATCCTCCGTTACAGAAGAAATTCCTAACGAAAGCGAAGAAATTCCTAACGAAAGCGAACTTGTCCGCGTTTCCAAAAATGCCCTTTCCCAGTAACCCTCTTCTTTCTCCTCGTCGCCATCCTCGAAAAACACAGCTCGCTTAGCCACCTCAGCAGCACAAGGCATCATCAACAGATCCAGTATTTTATACTTGATATCTTTCGGTAATCGATCAAACCAAACCGCGAGGCGCAAATCTGCCAACAAAGGCAACGCGATAATTTCCCTCACATTCCTCAGAAATTTATCAATCACTTTCCCCGGAGACGTATCCGCAATCAAACCTTCCTCGCCGCACGTTTCGTCGTTCCACCAAGAATCCCAGCATTTGTTCCATATAACATTCAGAAACGGAATCACTTCGTACTCGTAGACTTTCAATCGGTAAGTCCTCCTATGACACCATACAGTATCCTCCAAATTCGCGTAAACAGTCATGTAATCATCTACGAAATGAATTTCCAAGACGGCTTTTCTAATTATCTTGAAATCGCAGTCGTTGCAATTATCTTCTTCTTCGTCTTCGTCGTGTGGCAGAGTGTAGAACAGCCTGAGCAGGTGTGGGGATATTTTTGGTAAATCGAATTCGGTCAGCTCGTCGCGGAGATGGAAGCAACCGACTGTCGATTTCGACCGCTTGTCGAAGGCCGCGAAACCGGAGTCCAGCATTACGGCGTGGACCATAATAACAATCAATTTTTGGCGGTGTGAGGCGCTGGGTATACTCCACCACTGTTCGACGAACATTTGCTTCACGAATTTGGCGAAAGAAAACGGCGCGTCGGCGGCAGCGGCAGCGGCGGCGGCGGCGTCGTCCTCCTCCTCGGACTCGTAGCTGCCGCAGTAGCTTTCGTCTTTGTCGGTATCGTAGTTGAATTCCTTTTCATCTTCGGAATCGGAATTGTGGGATTCGGGGAGGGTATTTTGGGAGATGGAATTCATCGTCTTTTCCGATCTATTACGGCGGCGATTTGGGGAATTTGTGGAGATTTGTTTATATGGGCAAAGATCCCGCGAATTTCGGACTTGAAAATTAGGGTTTGTTTTAACAAACGGAGTCCAGTTTGAATGAGTTGATAGTTTGAATGCGCGCCTGTATCGGATGAGGATTCTAGAATGGACTATTTTTGAAGATTTTTTTTTTCTTTTCTTTTTTTTCAGAAAAATAATTGCAACATCATGACATATTTATTTTTAGGGAAAATTACGGTCACCCCTAAGTTATGGTCAAATTACGAAAAACTCATCGAATCGAAATTTCGGGTAATTACAGTCACCCGATGTTAAATTGGTGAAACCGAATCGAAATTTCGTTACCCAACATTTCACACCGTTTACTGAACTAAATATACAGTTTAGTTCGGTAAATAACCGAATTACATAAATTTTATGTAAAAATATTTAAAAGGAGGGGTGGTTGTAATTAACCGAACAAGAATATTTTTTTTTTTTTAATTTATCCATATCTGATAGGTTGTGTGTAATTTGCACTTATTATTATATTATAGTATTTATAATATAAATATAAAAAGCAAGGTAAAAAATAAGGAATTAATCAAGAATTTTTGTCTGAAACTAACAAGACTTTGGCAAAGAAATGTAGAACCTTTAATCAAAAGACATAAAAAGAAAAAAAAAGCCATCTTGCACTAGTCTTGAGAACTAAAACACTGAAAACCCTACCACTAACGGCGCCTCCGACGATCGTACGTCTGCGCACGGAGGATCATATCCCGTTCCGCATTAGTATCCGACGGAACGACAAACGGATAAGGATAGGGCTGCAGCTCATACGGAGCCACAACTCCAAACGCCAACTCAGCATTGCTCAGTCCGTAACGGGCCATTCTATACGCCATTTTCCAACTAACTCGCGCATCTTTCTTGTTATCGTCAAACTCGTCCTCGTACTTCGATTTCCACAACTTATCGCTCGAGGCCAAGCACTTTAGCTCGTGGCAAACGGACCCCACGTTGGCTAAATCGGCCACCGACAGCGATTCGAGAATCTTCAACTTGAGTTTCGTTGATAACCGCATGAAGTAGTTAGACGAACCGTACCGTAAATCCATCGACAGAGGCACTGCTAAATCGTCTTTTATTGTCCTCCAAAATGTGAACACCTCTTTCCCGGGAGATGTGCGTTTATCTATTCCACCGATCTTATTTTCGATTACGATGTTTGCGAACGGAATCAATTGATCCTCTTTCATTCGTACCGAATATGTATCTTTCTTCTCCGATTCCTTTCCCGATTCTACCATATCGGTATCTTTTTTCTCCGATTCCTTTCCCGATTCTACCAAATCGATATCTTTCTTCTCCGATTCCTTTTCCGATTCTACCATCTCCCATTCCTTATCGGATTCGCCCATATTGGTATCTTTCTTCTCCCATTCCTTTTCCGATTTTACCAAATCGGTATCTTTCTTCTCCGATTCCTTTTCCGATTCTACCATCTCCCATTCCTTTTCGGATTCTACCATATTGGTATCTTTCTTCCCCGATTCCGTTTCCGATTCTACCATATCGGTATCTTTCTTCTCCGATTCCGTTTTCGATTCTACCAAATCAGTATCTTTCTTCTCCGATTCTACCATATCGGTATCTTTCATCCCCGGTTTGATATCCAATCGACCAGAAACGGTGATAAACTCACCGGAACTCTCAAATTCCAGTACGACATTCTTCACCGATTCGCCGTCACGGGGGCGGTTGTTACTCTCCGGCAGAGTGTAGAACAATGACATGGCGAAGGGATCGCCGGAGGGAGGCCAGTCGCGCGGCGGCCGAAATCCGTTGACCACCGCGTTGGATTTCTCGTCAAACCCTAGAAATCCGCACTCTAGCATAATCGTGTGGGTCGCGATGACCATCAGCTTGCGGTGTCGGCTTCCGCCGCCGTCGCCGCCGAACTCCTCCATCAGAAATTCCCTCAGAAATCCAGGTACGGAAAACGACTTGTCGGTTGCATCGGATCCGTCGTCGTGGCCGACTGACGCGCTCGCGATTTTCGCCATCGTTGAATCGCAATCTAGGGTTTTCCTTTTCCGGGAAACCAGATTCGCACGATCGGTATTCTGGCCATCGGTACTCATGTTAGTCGCCGGATTCGTGAATTGAGAAAAAAAAGAAGAATATCGCCGGCGACGGCGAATAAGCCGGTGAATTATAGAAGTGTTTGATGAGAGATGGATTTTGGAATTTTAGGGTTTCTGGGATGAGAAGAATAGCAAAACAAAGAATCTCTGGGTAGTTAGCTTCTAGTTATATTTGGCGGCCGTATCGGACAAGAATATAGGAAATTCCTCTTTTGTCCCTACTTATTTTGGAATTTTGTTTTTCTTTGTAAGAAATTATAATAAAACTTTAATTTCAAAATTATTAAATTTGATTATATAGCTTTTTTAGGAAAATTAAACACCCTTTAATCAACTACTCCAATCTCATTCATTAGGTGTCTTTTTATCATAATAAAATAAAATAAAATAAAAATAAAATCACTTGCTAATTGTATTCTACAATATAATGTTCTACACCAACTCAAAACATCATATTATATATACATGATTAATCATTCATTGTCAACGATTATCAAGCTAGTATAATTTATATATATTCGTTGGGTTTTAGTAGAGAGAACGTGTTCGAACTATGGATACGATGAAGAAGTCGGCGAAGAGGGTCAGGATGACGATGCCGTTCGGGCTCAAGTGCAATAAATGCGATAGACATACGGACAAAGGTGAAAAGCTTTATTGTTTCAGAAGAGCAATCGGGATCGACTCAACTTTCGAAGTTGAGATTTACAGATTTGAGTTTTGGTGCCAATGTTGTCGAAGTGATTTGTTCGATCGTTTCGAATCCCGGCCGATACGATTACGTTCTTGAATCAGGTGCCACGTTCGTTGCCAAAAGATTTCATAGATTCCCGTGTCGTTTGTAATTTATATTTAGCTTTTGATTTTGTTTTAACCTTAGATGATTAGCTTTAGCATGTTTTGAACTTTCGATTATTCTTTTTAATAGAAAATTATTTTCGTGACTATTGTTAAATTTTTAATAGCCGTTTTTTTTTCTTCATAATTATATGTGGTGTCGAATGCCTTGTCAATTGTAATAAAAATCAGGATTTTTATTACAATTCAACCCCTAATAAATAAAAAATCTAACAATTAAACCCATGACAGTTACATGGTAAAATTGGATTCTTGGAGGATCTTGAAATCTAAACGATTCAGGATATACAAAAACAGAACATCAAGAACAAATTAATGGAAATTTGGAATTCAGAAAATAAGCAAACTTACAGAATTCAAAACATTAAAATTAAAACTCATTGAAAAACACCATGCATACATAATTATTAAATTCCATTGAATTTTTCTGCACGACCTAATACTTAATAGAACGATTAAGATTAATATAACCATTAAGATGAATATAATTGTAATAATTAATGAACAAACATATAAATAAAATTAAAAATCTCACAAATGTTCTTCCCCAAAATTTAAATCCAAAATCCCTATCTTGACAAGCATTGTAGCAATTGCGAAAATTTGGAAATGGGTTTGCGGCTGTATTATGTGATTCGTGCTAAGAACTTAAAACCGTAAAGGATGAAATGGAAATGGCGGAAAGGCAGCCCAGCCTCAATCTCGTCAAACCAAACATTTCCTCAATGGCGGATCTCTCGTCGATTTCCGCAAATACTTCGGCCACTGTTTGTTTGCTAGAGTTTCGCGGCCCCCAATTGAATGTGTAAAGCGTTTGATCCAAAATCATGATGAAATCGACGTGTTGCCATTGTTTCTTCGTATTGGTAGATTTTTCTAATTATGCATGCGGTAAACTATGACGAAACTAATAATTAAGTTGAATTATACATAAGTTTTGGCTGTGGTGTTATATAGTTCATCATGAATGAGATGAAGAAAGAAACGATGTTGCTTCTCGAAGGTAACGACGAAGAGGGTCGAAATAATACGGATGCGAAGAACATGGTGTATGATTTAACAAAGAAGAAGTAAAAGAAGAAGAAAAAGGAAAAAACATGATATATAGATCGATGATTAGTGTTTACTTTATGGAAGAAGATGAAAGAAAAGTCATTTAGATGTAAGATTTCGTCTCATTTAATTTGTAATTAACTTTCAAATCATTAATTTTATAACCAAAATTTTGGTACGCCGACATTTCATACCGTTTAAATATTTAAAGGAGAGGTGGCCATAATTACCTAAATAAAAGGGGTCTTTTCGTAATTTGACCATACCTCAGGGGTGGCCGTAATTTGCCCTAAGAATTATAAAAGTTTAATATGAAAATTATTGAATTTGCTAAAATTAAAGAATTTTTTATCTGATCTCCACCGAATTATAGCTTTTTTAGGAATACTAAACACCTTTTTATCCACTATTCCAATCTCATTAGTGGTCTTTTATCATAAAAAAAAAAAAAAAAAAAAAAATCACTTCCTAATTATATTCTATAATATAATGTTTGTCCTAGTTCTACACCAACTCAAAACCTCATATTATATATACATGATATCAACACACAAATAATCATCCATTGTCCACAATTAGCAAGCTAGAGTAATTTATATACTCGTCCTCAAATATTTTCTAGGGTTTTAGTAGAAAGGACGTGTTCGAAGATGGATACCAAGCATATCGATACCATGCAGAAGTATTCGACGAAGAAATCGGCCAAGAGGGTGAGGATGACTATGCCGTTCGGGCTCAAGTGCAATAAATGCGATAGGCACACGGACAAAGGTGAAAAGCTTTATTGTTTCAAAAGAGCAATCGGCATCGACTCAACTTTCGAAGTTGAGATTTTCAGATTTGAGTTTTGGTGCCAATGTTGTCGAAGTGATTTTTCGATCGTTTCTGATCCTGGCCGATACGATTATGTTCTTGAATCAGGTGCCAAAG